AAAAAAAAAAAAAAAAAAAAAGAACAAGAAATAACAAAATAACTGGCAAGGATGGTGGCAAGGATGTGGAGAAAAGGGAACCCTCATGCACTGTTGGTGGGAATGTAAATTGGTGCAGCCACTATGAAAAAACAGTATGAAGTTTCCCCTATTAAAAATAGAACTACCAGCTGTTCTACTTCTGGGTATTTCTCTGAAGAAAATAAAAACATTAACTCAAAAAGATATATGTACCTCCCTGTTCATTGCAGCATTATTTACAATAGCCAAGATATGGAAACAACCCTAGCGTCCATTGATGGATGAATGGATAAAAAGGATGTAGTGTAAATATACATTAGAATATCATTCAGCCATAAAAAAGAACGAAATCTTACCATTTGCATTAACGTGGATGGAACTTGAGGGTATTATGCTAAATGAAATGTCAGACAGAGAAAGACAAATACTCTATGACCTCACTTATATGTGGATCTAAAAACAAAACAAAACAAACCCTCCTAAAACCTAAGCTCATATATACAAAGAACAGATTGGTGGTTTCCAGAGGCAGGGAGTGGGGGTGGGAAAAATGGATATAGGAGGTCATAAGATACAATACAAAATAAATAAATCATGGGGATGTAATATATACTATGGATACTATAGTTAATAATAATGTGTTGCATATTTAAAAGTTGCTAAGAGAGTAGATCTTAAAAGTTCTCATCAAATTAAAAATAGAACTACCCTATGACCCAGCAATTGCACTATTAAGTATTTATCCAAAGGATACAAAAATGCTGATTCAAAGGGACACATGCACCCCAATGTTTATAGCAGTGCTATCAACAATAGCCAAAGTATGGAAAGAGCCCAAATGTCCATTGACCAATGAATGGATAAAGAAGATTGCATATGTATGCAATGGAATATTACTCAGTGACCAAAAGGAATGAAATCTTGCCATTTGCAACAATGTGGATGGAACTAGAGAGTATTATGCTAAGTGAAATAAGTCAGAGAAAGACAAATATATGATTTCACTCATGTTGAATTTAAGAAGCACAAGAGATGTACATAGGGGAAGAGAAGGAAAAAGATAAAAACAGAGATAAAAACCATAAGAAACTTAAATACAGAGAACAAACTGAGGGTTGCTGGAGGGAGGTGGGTGGAGGTATGGACTAAATGGGCATTAAGGAGGGCATTTGTTGGGATGAGCACTGAGTATTATATGTTAGTGATGAATTGCTGAGTTCTACTCCTGAAACCAATACTACACTACATGTTTACTAATTTGAATTTAAGTAAAAAAAAATAGATATAACTCACATATAAAAAAATTCTCATCACAAGAAAAAAATTGCGTTATTACACATGGTGATAAATATTAACTAGACATATTGTGGCAATCATTTTGCAATGTATACAAATATCAAATTATTATGTTGTACACCTGAAAATATATAATGTTTACGTCAATTATACCACAATTAAGATAGAATAAAGTAAAATAAATTTGGGGGAAACCTTTTGGTTTGGTTGTGTATCCCAATCTTTTTGACTTTCAATATAATATCCTGAGCGCTTCTCCATGTCATTAAAAATTCTTCAAAGATCTTTTTAAAAAGAAAATAATGTTTAAGGCACCTGGGTGGCTCAGTTGGTTGAGTGTCTGACTCTTGATTTCTGCTCAGGTCATGATCCCAGGGTTGTGGGATTGAGCCCACATTGCGCTCCACACTGAGTGTGGGATGTGCTTAAGATTCTCTCTTTCTCTGCCCCTCTCCTGTGCTCTCTCTCTCTCTCTCCCTCTTAAATAATAATTTTAAAAGCATATAATGTTCTACAGCAAGGATGTATTGTAGTTTATTTTTAATGTTTCATTCATTGTCTGACTTTTGACTTTATAACTAGCATGAACAGCTTCTCTAGCTACAGGTACAATACTCAGCTTCAATTTTTTTCTTCTTTGTTAAAACTGAGGTATAATTTATAGCACACTTAATCAATTGTAAGTGTACAGACTGGTGAATTTTTACATGTCTATGCACTTGAAACACAATGCAAATCAAGAGATGTAGAACGTTTCTGTCACCTAAAATTTCCCTTGAAGTTCTTTGCCAGTCATCTTCCCCCACCTGGAGGTAATCACCATTCTGACTCTTACTGTCATCGATTAGTTTTGCCTGCTGTCGAGTTTCATAGACTCAAAGGGTATGTACTAATTTGTCTTCTTTTATTCACGTAATTTTTTTATATACATCCATGTTGTTGCATGTCTCCATAGTTGCTTTTTTCCCATTGCTGATGTATTTCATCATGTGAAGATACCACACTGGATTTATTCATTCCCCTGTTGATGGACAGGAGTTGGTGGTCTCTAGGTTTGGGCTTTGATGAGTAAAAGCACTACATTCTTGTATATGACAGTTCGTGGGTATATTCATTCAGTTCTTCTGGGTATATACCTAAGAATGGAATTTATGGGTCACAGAGTAGGTGTATATTTAGTAATTACTACTATACTGTTTTATAAAATGTTAACAATAATTTATATTCCCATAAGCAGTGTGTACAAGTTACAGTTGCTCCATATCCTCAACAACACTGGGTATTTCCAGTTTGTACAATTTTAGTCATTCTAATGGGTGCATTCTACTATTTTACTGTAGTTTTAGTTTTCATTTTTAAGATGAATAATACTGCACCGTACTTTTTCATATGCTTATTAGTCATTTGGATCCTCTTTTGTGAATTGCTTGTTGAAGTCTTTTACTAAGTTTTAATTGTCAATTGTTGGCCTTTGTAATATTTATTTGCAGGAAGTTTTAATATATTTTGGATTCAAATCCCTGCCTCTGATGAAGTTTTTCATAAACAGAAATTCTTAATTTTAATCAATTCCAACTTACTAACTTTTTTATAATTAGTGCTTCTTGGTCCTATTATAAAAACTTTTATCTGTACCAAGATTATTAGCAGGAACACACATCACACATATTTTTTCTTCTTGAAAATTTCAGGTTTAGGTCTATATCCACTTTGCATTAATTTTTACACATGGTGTGACTAATAATTAAGGTCCTTTTTTTTTTTTACAGATGTGGTTTCAGTATCACTTATTGAAAGGCTGACTGTTCTCAACTGAATTAAAGAAGAATGTTTTCCATAAATCAAATGACTGTATATGGAATAGGGCTATTTATGGCCTCTCTGTTCTGTTCTACCAATTCATTTGTCTATACTTGAGCCACTATCATATTATCATAATTACTCTAACCTCATAGTGATATTCCAGGCAGTGAGAGGAGTAAGAGATCTGAGTTCAGTCATGTGACCAATGATTGGCGCTTGCATGCCTACATAATAAAACTTTGATAAAAACCCTAGACACTGAGGCTTGGGTGAGCTTCCCTGGTTGGCAATCATACATCAATATGATAGGTAGGTGATGTATCCTAAGGACAAAGAAACTTCATGTGTCAGACCCTCCCAGACCTCACCTTACCCAATGCACCTCTTCATTTGGCTGGTCCTGAATTGTATCATTTATAATCAAAGTAAAAAAAGTAAAGCACTTAGCTGAGTGTTGTGTGTCATTCTAGAAAGATATCAAACCTAGGGGGAGAGGGGAACCCTTGAATTTGTATTCAATTGATTAGAAAGGTGTGTAGTTCCTTGCCACTGGTGTCTAAAGTGAGGGAGGTTTTCTGGAGAACTGAGGTTTTAATCTGTGAAGTCTGCACTAACTCTGGGTAGTCAACATCATGAGTGTATAGCAGGCACATGCACATTAAAGATTGCTTTATATTTTAGAGAATTGGCTCCTTTGCAATTACACAATTTCCCTCTTATCCTTGTTCTGATGTTGGCTTTGTCTGAAATATAGCTAATACAAGTTTATTTTGATTCGTGTTAGCATAGTCTATCTTTATTGCTTAATTTTTAATCTATCTGTACCTGTGGGTTGCCTGCTGACAACATATAGTAGGGTGTTTTTTTCTTTGGGTGTTGTTAAACCCACTAACATTCAAACTGGTTATTGATACAGTCGGGTTAATATCTACTGTACTTGTAACTTTTCTATTCATTGCCCTTCTCTTTATTTATTTGTCTTCCACTCTTTTCTTGCCTTCTCTGATTTTAATTTAGCATTTTATATGATTCCATTTTCTCTCCTGTCCTAACATATAGATTATACTTCTTTTTAACTATTTTCTTTTCGTGGTTGCCCTACAGTTAGAAACATAGATTTTCACTGAAGACAAGTCCACTTTCAAATAACACCATACTGTTTCATGGGTAGAATAAGTACCTTAAGACATCATATTCCAAGTTATGTCCTCCTGTCCCTTTTAATATTGTGATCATTTCCAAATACATTTCCAAATACAAGGTTGTTATCATTTTGAACAAGCTGTTATCTGTGAGATAAATTAAGAATATGAAAAAATATTTTATTTTACCTTCATTTATTCCTTTTTTAATGTTCTTCTTTTCTTTATGAAGGTCTGATTTTCTCACCTATATCATTTTCTTTCTCTCTGAAGAACTTTTAACATTTCTTGCAAGGCAGGTCTACTGGCAACAAATTTCCTCAAATTTTGTCTGAGAAAGTCTTTATTTTATTCTCCACTTTTGAATAATAATTTCACTGGTTGATAATTGCTAGGCTGGTGATTCTTTTTTTTTTTTTTAACAGTTAAAATATTTTACTCCACTCTCTTCTTACTTGCATGGTTTCTGAAAAGAAGTCTGTTGTAATTCTCATCCTTATTCTTCTGTTGCTAAGTTGCTTTTTCTTCTCAGGCCCTTTCAAGATTTTCTCTTGAACTTTGATTTTCTGCAGTTTAAATATAATATACTGGTGTAATATTTTTTGGTATTTACCCTACTTAGTGTTCCCTGAGCTTTCTGGATCTGTGGTTTGGTGACTGTCATTAATTTGGAATGTTCTCAGCCATTATTACCATTCAAATAGTTCTTCTGTCCTTTTCTCTCATTTTTATCCTTCTAATATTCTCATTACATGCATGTTATACCTTTTTCAAAAGTTCCATAGTTCTTACATTCTGTTCCATATTTTTTTTCTCCTTGCATTTCAGTTTTTGAAGTTTGTATTGACATATCTTCAAGCTCACTGATTTTTTCCTTGGCTATGTCCAGTCTGCTGATAACCCCATCAAAGGCATTTTTCCTTTATTTTACAGAGTTTTTGATTCCCAGAATTTCCCTTTGCTTCTTAAAACTTCAGTATCTCTCTTTACGTTGCCCATCTGTTCTTGCATATTGTCCACTTTTCCACTGAAGACCTTAACATATCAATCATAGTTATTTTAATTCCCAAATCTCTGCCATGTCTGTGTCTGGTTCTGATGCTTACTTTATTACTTCCGACTGTGAGGGTTTTTTTTTTTTTCTTTTGCCTTTTGGCTCACCTTGTAATTTTTTGCTGAAAACCAGACATGATGTATTGGGCAAAAAGAACTCAATTAGATAGGTCTTTAGTGTGAAGTTTTATGTTTATCTGGCTAGGAGTTAGGTGGTGTTTATTGTTTGCTGTAGCTGTGGTGTCAGAGACCAAAATATCTTTTAGTGTCCTTGTTTTTGTCTCCCTTGTTATTTTGGGTTTTCCTAGACATTTTAAATAGTGTCTGAGGCCTGCAGTTCTTTCAGCTGTAATCCTCTATTATTATACAGGAGCTGGATTGATGTGGTAATAAGGTGTAGGGGGAGGGGAACTTATCTATAGTCCTATAATTAGATTTCAGGTTTTTAGTAAACCTGAGTTGGGTATTTTCCCTTTCCCCAGGGTGGTTAGTCTTCAGTAAAACCACAGTAAATTAGACACTATAAGTTAGTTTCCTTTGGCGGCAGGTCTTGTTAAGGGGAAGAGTGAACTCTGGGTGTGTTTCAAAATGGTTATTTTCCCCTCCCCCTGCTGGAAGCATGAGGGGATTTTCTCCAGTCTTCACAGTGAGAACCTGGTAGAACTCATGGAGACAAAACTCACAAATGTAGGGGGCCCCCCTAAAACTGGACCCTCTCAGAGTTTCAACCTCTCATGCTTATTACACTGAACCTTCAGCAACTTGCCAATTATAGTTTAGAAAATTCCTACCAATACTGGCAGTAGTGAAGGGTTTCTGCTCCATGTAAGCTCTGGTTCTCTGAATTCACCTATCGATCTCTCCAGTTTTCAGGGCAACAGTTTCCCCCATGACCCAATTCTCTGTTGGATCTAAGAAGAGTTGTTGATTTTCAGTTGGTTCAGCTTTTTTCTTGTCATGAAGACATGAGTGAAGACTTCAAGCCCTTTACTTGTTGGACCAGAAATCAGAAGTTCACCAGGTATGTTTTTGAAAGTTAAATTAACATATTGAGCCACCATATGTTCATATCAGCAGGAAGAGTATGTCTTTATCTTGGAAACTCCTGGGTGGATGGTCCAAGAATACCAGCACTTAGTCTAGTTAGTGGACCTTTCAGATATTCTACAAAGAGAAATTGCAGAATATGACCAGTCCACTAGCAAATTTCCCTTTTTATCCCATGCCATTGCAATGACTATGTTACCATTGAAAAGATGTGGCTCTCCCATCCCAATGCTGCCTACAGATTCTATAATGTTACTTGCAGCTGAGACTATAGTACTTTTTTGAGGGTGACCTTAGTCTATCTCAATGTTATGCATGTGTACATGTACTCTACTTTTGGACTCCTGAGGTTATAACAGCCGCCCTTACACATTCAGCCAATGTCCCAAAGTGAACCCACTATACCAGGGTAGATAATTTAATAGGGGCATCTACAAACTTATACTATCTTGTTGTCATGATGAATTCCCTCTCACTTGAACTTTCTTTCCTATTAAGTAGGACTCATTCAGATCTGATAAGCTGAAATAGAGTCTCAGTTTATCAGATCTTCAAAAGGGAAGAGTTCAGGTCTAGATCCATCTGATTCACCCACTTGCTATCCAGAGACTAGTTCTGTACTCCAAGAGGTATAGAAAGAGGTATAGTTAAGACGCCTGTGGATCTTCAGAGGAATATCTTGAGGGTGGAACTGTGTGGCTTGCATTTGCTTAGAGCTAGAAATGTCTGGGAATTTATATCTAGCTTCCTCCCCCTATTGCCCTTCACTAAGGTTCTGCCCTGCCCTTCACCTCAGGTTGGAGGTGAAGTGAAATTAACACTCCAAGTTTCCTCCGTGGGATGAGGGTGAAGCTAATTCATATCCTTGCTTGGTTTCCTTCCTTTCCTTGTCCTGCTTCCTCCCCATCCTTACCCATTCCCTTTGGAAGCATTTCCCTAATCAATCACTTCCTCATGGCTCTCATCTTGGAGTCTGATCCTGGAGAACTCAACTTAAGACATCATCCAAAGGGCTCAAGATGGTGAATGCCTTTTGGTCTTAAATTTTCACAGCCAAAAGGGTTGATCTACTCCAAAATGATCTGTTTCCTCCAAGTGAAGTACCTGACACTATTTAAAAAGCAGTTGCTCATACAAATAAAGGAACTTTTCTATTCCTGCCCAACCAAATTATTTGCTATTGCTTGTTTCCAATCTTTTTACTTAATATTTTTCTTGTGACTAGCCCTTAGAGACCCACAAAGATCAGGGCCCATGGTAGCCAAATAATTCATTTGATTGACCATCATATTCAAAGAAGTTTGCTTGAGTATTTACTCTGAAATCAGTTTAGACTTTCTGACTCCTCCTTTTTCCAGCTTCTCTTCTTCTCTTTGAGTGACTTCATTCAGGCAAAAATGCCAGCCACATCTCCCCCCACTTGCCCAGTCAAAACCTATTTATGAGAAATGATTAAACCAGTCTGTGGCTGAAATTCACAGGCTACTTTTATTCTCTTAGTACAGGATGGGGAGAAGAGATTCAGAGTATTTAAAATATACTCTTTCCTTGCACACTGAAAAGCTTTGGATATTATTCAAAATATTCCAGGGGCCAGACAATAAGTATGAGGAGAAATTTAGAGGATGAGGCCCTTGAACATACCTCCTTGCATCTGTCCCTGGTGAGTGAAAGTTGGTTGTAGGCAATTTCTTACTTAGAGTTTGTAAGTTAATCACAGCAGAAAGATGAGTAGTTCTTACTGGATGGACTTCCCTCTGCCTCCATCTCTGTACCTCACCTGGTGCTGGTAAGAGCTCAGGAACAGGTAACTTTGGCTCCAACCCAGCCATACTGGTGGCCAGGGATAGTCTATACTGTGTGGTGGGCAGCCTTTGGGTTCAGCAGAAGACAGACCTGGCTCTGATCCTGGCTTTGCACTTGCCAGCTCTGTGACCTTAAGAAAGTCACTCAACCTCCCTATGGCTCCATTCCCCTGGATATAAAATGAAGATAACAATACTGACCCTCACGAGCTGTTATAAAGCATCAATCTAACATGTACAGTGGTCAATACCAGATAAATACCAGAGAAATATTAATCCCTCCAATCCTTCTATAATTAAAGCTTCAGTAAATTATGGTGAGTTTATCTGAGTCATTTTTCTGCTTCCTTGGTTAAGAAACTGCCCACCCCAATTAATTCCCAAAATTAATGTTCCAGAACATCAAAATTAGAAGGCACTTTCCCATCACTTTGTTCAACCCATCCATTTTGCAGGTGATGAAACTGAGGCCTGGAGGGTTCAGGGCCTTGTTTAAAAGCCTGCTGTTTCTTTTCTATTGCTCTTTGCCCTACACCTTATTAATTATCACCCTTTTGAAGTCTGTGTTTACAAATCCTGGCTAATGTTTAGTTGTTTGCATCTCCAGTATTATTTTGTGAGGTGTTGCCTCATGGGGTTATTTTAGGTCTTTTGCAATGGTTTCCCAAAAAAGTAATGCTATGGATGCCTCACAGCTCTCCAGAAGTGCCAGGCTGATTTCATGAACCCTAGCCATGGCACCCAGATACTTCATTCCTGAGAGAGGGCTGTTCTCTCTGGATAAATTTGTCCTCTGGAAGAAAGACACTTCTTCCTTGGCCTTGGTGGTAAACCTGGAGGGGAACAGTTCAGTCAGCTTCCTGGCCTTTAATGGGTGGCTTTGCCGAGACAGTTGTGCTCTGGAGGCAAGAGGGGGCAACCCTCCTTCTGTCCCCACGCCAGTGTCATTGGGAGATCCAGGGATTCAGGGGACTAGCTGTAGGGCCAGAAGCCTCAAGCAGCCTCAACAACTTCCTTTGCAGCCTTCCTACCCTTTCCTGTAGAGTGGCTCCAGTAGTGCCTTCATGAGCATGAAAGTGATGAGAACAGCCCAGTCGGAACACAGTCAGAAAGGCATCTTCCAAAAGTATTGTCTTCATAGTGGGCAATGCAGTAAGTTCTACCAGAAAGAACAGGAGAGACGTGACTGAAACACCTTCGGAGCCTTTTCAGGTCACAGCACCCCTCTACAATGCCACTTTCATTCTCCGGTTTCTTGGGAGATTTCAAGAATCAGAATCTGGCTGGGTGAGTGTGTGCAGGGAGGACAGGGAACAAGTTTGTGAAAGTTCCCAAGGAGGTTGCCCCCTAGAGTTGCCAGATTTAACAAACAGAAGTGCAGGGCACCCAATTAAATGGAACTTTCAGAAAAACAATGAATACTTCTTAGCATACGTGTGTCCTATGTGATATTGGGTTCATACTTCTACTAAAAAAAAAAAAAATGTGTTTGTCTGAAATGCAAATCTAACTGGGCACCATGTATTTGGCAACTCTCCCATTCTTTCCACATTCAAACAGAAAAGTGACATTTTCAAACACCATTTTTAAAAAGCATACACTCACTGTTAAAAAATGCAGAGAAATACAAAAAATCAAATTAAAACCAGTCATAATTTTACCACCCAGATTTATTAACCCATGACAACATGCTAACATTTTGGTCTATTCCATATGTACATCTGTATGTGTGATTTATTGTCAGTCATATATTTATAAAATTTAGATTATACCAAAATCCAAATATTAGGTTTTTATTATGCTTTTTCCATATAACATTACATGTATGTGTATATATGTGTGTATGCATATAAAATACTTTATTTCAAATATCATTAGATTTATCTATCTATATCTATATCTATCTCTCTCTATATATATATACTATATATTTTCCTGTCTTTAAATATTCTCCATTAGCAGGCCTTTTAATGGCTGAAAAGTGCTCATGTTAATTCCCATTATACAGAGAATTTAGAACAGAGCTTCTCAGACCCTTCTATTTTACAAACAGTAGTTAGCCATCAGATGCTTGATATGCAACAATCTGAACCATGCCAGACCCATAGGAAGGATTCCAGAAATGCTTACTGATTAAGTGAATAAATAAATAAATGAACTCCTTCGACCCCAGGAGCACCCTAGCCCAAACACAACACCCACATTGCCATTGCACAGGTTCCTGCTGAATGGAAAAGGAGGTGCTTGAACTTTAGAGCAAGTAGTCGACAACTCAAGACTCAGCATTCTGGTCTCTGGTGTCGAGCACTGGCAAAGTCCTCATTTTTCTTCAAATTTTACAGCAAGTGTCCTTTTAGTAGGTCCCATTGTAGGTACTGTGGATACAGAAATGAATGTGATAAGAGAATTACATTCCTGTGAAATTGTATTTGTGTGTAGGTGGTGATGGGGAGACAGACAATAAAAGAGTAAATAAATAAACATAATAATTTCATAAAGTGATGAATGAGAACTAAAACTATTATAGCCACACAGCTTATGTTCACGGTAATGTGATTAAACGATTTGGTACTCAGCATTAACAGGACTGCAATATTCTGCAAAAGCTGACCCCCAAAAGATGAGGCTGCAAACAATGTTCCTGTGTGTGTTAGGAACTTGCTGAAAACCCATTTATCTGAACAGCAGACTCTTCACTAGCCCTCATCAGGGTAGTCGTCCCCTTCTCTGAACAACCCAACTAGGCTGAATATTCAACTCCTCTCCAAAGCCCACACTTCACTGTGTTGATCAGTCCTAGACTATTAGACTATTATATCATGTGCTTTGCACAGTTCCAATCAGGACTCCACATTTAAAGACCCACCTTAAACTAGACCTTCAAAACCCTGTCAATATTCCACCTTTGACCTCTTCCTTCTAAGAAGCTTCTATGATTCCATCAAAGTAACGGTATCTCTTACTGCACTAAGCAATAAATTTGGCTTTGTGCAATCAGCAGCCTATTTCAGTGGTCTGTGTAGGAACCGGCAGTCAACATGAGTGGTATGAAGGAGAGAAAGCAGGGCCATTCGAATCCATAGTGATGGAGGTGGGGCTGGCAGTGGCGCTACTTTCATTGGAATAAAAAGCCTCTCAAACGGTAACATGTGAGCTGAGACTTGAAAGAAGAGAAGGATCTGGCCTTACTATATCCTGGAGGCAAACCTTCCGAGCACTGGGAATAGTAACAGGAGGAGGGTTGTCAGCAGAGCAAGGAGGTCAGAAGGTTGAGGGCATAGATGGATACCAGACAAAGAAGTTCATTACAGGCCAATGCAAGGGATTTGGAGTATACGCTAAGCGTGATGTTAAAAACTGGAGGATTTAATCAGGAAAGCGACATTCCTGCATCCATCCATCTGGTCAGTGAATGTTCCTTGAGATCCTTCTCTAGGCCCGTGTTCGTGGCTACAAACTGCTCTGGAGATTGAGCATCCTGGAGAAAAGAGACACAAACAGCCAGCACTCCGAAAACCAATTCCCACACATTGGAGGAAGTGTGGGAAGGAACCGGTGACCCAGAAGCCATAGAACCAGAGGAGGTGGACCTCCTTTGTCATGGTTCTGGCTCTCACATCCTCAGGGTTCCACATAAGCGTGGTTTGCCTGGTGGAAGCTTCCAGCCTCTGAGGAGCACAAGGCACTACACTAAACCCAGGCCTTGGACTCCCCAGGGGCAGCCGGGTGGGTTACTTTAACCTACATGCCTCAGGACCAAGCACAGTACCTGGCATCGAGTAAGCGCTCAATAAATGTCGGAACTGAGGATCTGCTTTCTAGGTGTCTATACTCCACTCAATTCAAAAGCTGTTTTGAATTTCGTACAGGGCTACATATATTATTGAAACATGAGGTGCCCACGGGTGGCTCACCGGGTTAAGCACCCGACTCTTGATTTCAGTTCAGGTTATGATCTCACAGTTTGTGAGTTCGAGCCCCGTGTCAGGCTCTGTCTGCACTGATGGCACGGAGGCTTCTTGGGATTCTCTGTCTCCGTCTCTCTGCCCCTCCCCAACTCCTGCTTTTTTCTCTCTCTCTCAAAATAAAGAAACTTAAGAAAAAAAAAACGTGAAAAAAATGAGGAAGTCAGAGGAAAAGAATGTGAAGGTAAGGAAAATAAAATAAAATAAGGGTTAAAGTAAATGGTTAACACCCCTAATGAGTAGCTTTGAATAGAGGTGAATTACAAAGTCTTCTGGGCAGCCAATGAAAAGTGCACAAAGTTCAGCTGTAGATTCACAGAAACAGAATTAGAACAATAACAAGAAGCCAGAGCCTGAGGAAAGGCCCAGCTCTTTCTAGCACTGGGGCAAAGAAATTTTTTAATGAATCTTCATAAAGCGATTTTCTGTGAGATAGTAGATAACACGCCCCTAAGACAACACAGTTGTGAGTTTCAAATAGCTGTTTCTTGAAACACACCCCCCCCACCCCCCCAGGAGCATTATCTAGGCATATCTGAACAAAACTCCATCAAGGAGACCGGGTCATGGAGGAATTTTGATCCACGGTGTGCTGATGAGGACACTTTAGAACAGTAGAGGGATGGGGGAGGTTGGGGAGCAAAGGAACATAGAGCTGGGCAGGACCCCACAGTGTTCGAGCTTGGTGGAGCCGGGCACGTGCATACATCCTGCACACCTCTGGAAAGAGTAACTCAGAATGCAGGGGACACTGTCCCCTCACGCCCTCCGTGGAGCAACCGTCTACCCTCCTAGAACAAAATGAGGGGGAGAGAAGCCTCCAGAGAGGAAGGATTTGTGATGAGGGGGGAATCTTCATGAAGTGTTATAGTAAACACCTCATATTTCAACTCTGTGAAGAAAGCATCTCCCGGCAGACAAGCTCACAATATGTGTTCAGTTTGTGGTGGGGTCGGCCAGGGCCCGCTGGCGGCTCCACCAGGGTCCCCCATTTCCTGGGCCATAAAAACATGCTCCTGACTGATGGCTGACATACGAGGTGACAGACAAGGAAATGGTTTCCCTTGGCTGCGTGTGTGTGCCCCAATTTACAGCTGCCCCGGAATTAGCAAGGGCGGATGCTTCCACGGCTGTTAGGTTAAGTATAAACTCCCAGTCGTTTCTTCATGGGGGAGGACACTTGATTTGGAAAAGAAAAATCATGGCGAAATTAAACAGGAAAATAATGTCTCTTTTTAAAATGGTATTCTTGAATGATTGTAAACACGGTTTAAATTGGCTGGATTTTCTACCCAGATCTGTGTGTGCAGACATAGCCAGGGCTACGCTCTGATGATATCAAGCTCTTGAGGGGAGAGCTTTATCTTTTTCCCAAGTGCATATTGTCTTGTTGGATCTTGACATTGCTTGTAGATGGGAAAATAGAGGCTTGGTGAAGGTTAAGGGACTTCTCCAAGGCCACACAAGGTGGCCCTTAAATCCTGTCTCCTGCCTTTCAGGTGAGAGCTAGGAGATGATGTTATGGGGGCACCTGGCCCTGTGCCTGACACTAGTAGTGGGTGCCCCATAAACATTCATTTCCCCACCTCTTACTATTTTTCTTCCCCACTTTTCTATTAAAGAGATGCTCTTCGATTGAAGGCTAAGTCTAACCTATGATTTCCACTTGGCCCATATATCTGCTTTTCCATGAGTCCCAAGTGCAAGTGCTCTAAACACGTGTGCTTCATGAAATGCCTCAGAAAGCAGTGAGGGGTGTGGAAGGCCCGTCAAGCCTCAAATCTACAAGGTTGCCATTAAAATCCCTCCCTGGCCCTCTGACCCAGTCCTGTCGCTAACTTTGTGACCCCAGCCCTGTCACTGTGTCTCTCTTTTCCATACAACATTACAAGGGTTTTGTGAAATGCTCACATCTGACCTATCTGATGCCACAGGCTACACACTCTGGTGAGGAATATGAGGCAAGAAAGACATCCATAAATTCTCAGACAACAAGGTCAAGAAAATAAATTCTTTGGGTGAGAATAAGGGGGTGGTGGAATTTATCAGCATGGTTATTGTGCTGGATTTATACTGAGTTTAGCTTAGATAGGAAGGTCAAAAACCATTCACTGTTTGGGATACCCTATGTGATCAGGCTCTTTCATTAGGCATATTTCAGGCTTAGGAATACATTTTTAACTTCATATTATGTACATATTTGTTTTAAGTGCTATTGTAGTCAGCGGGGGTGGGGGGGGGATAGATGGTGGTGTAGGGCAAAGACACACTTCCAACAAATGAGGGCCCTGAAGAGCTTTTTCTCTAGACAGACATCTCTTGAAGGTCTGCCTGTTGAATAAACAGACCTAGCTCAGGGAGGGTTTTCTGGTGCTACAAAAGACTGCGGAAGAAATATATCTATGGCCATTTTTTTAATAGCATAAGAAGAACAAAAATACCTGTAGTGGTCTCAAGGTGAAAAGGAAATTGATCAAGTGTAGGAAAAAGACTAAGCTCCTTTCAAAGGATTTCAGCATCAAAGGTTGGTACAAAGAAGTTTCCACCTTCTAGTAACCAGAACACTTTATTAACCAGATTGGGCCATTCCTTGACATTTGTCTATTTGCAGACTTTGATCCCTGAGACAACTTCTAGCTGGCAAATTCTCCAAATATGATTACCTCCAATATATGAGCTCATTTCTCTGTACTTACTCCCAAATGGTGAACATCGATTTGCGACATTAATGAAGTAAGTACCCAACTATCCTTGTTCATGAGCTATTACCTCGGTATTGATTGTAGTCTTAATTGACAATTACTTGAGTGGGCTGGGCTATACTGAGCTTTTATTAATTTTCCATGGTGATACTCATTACTAAACTTCATTGCAATTGTGTAACAATGTATACTCCCCCCTGTAGCTCACTGAATTGGAAAATTCCACTGGCCATTTCCCAAACCTCTTTATCCTGGAAAATAAAAATTTTGCTATTGCTAAATTTGATATCAGGATTCTAGACCTCGATTCTGCGGGGAGAGAATTGGCTGTGAAAATAAATAGAATTTGCTAAATTATTTTTTCTTCACTGTTATTTCAGAGAACATGTTGTATCCACGGACTTTATTCTATCCCTTGCTTCCTAGAGGGACAATGAACTCCATGCTACTGTAAAATTATATTCATTCTTCTTTCTCCCTTTTCTTTTTTTTTTTTTTTTAAATTAAGGGTGTGGAGAAGGCAGCAAGGTAGAGGAGATTTTGTGGTTTTAGGGAAGAGGAGTTTGGGTTTCTAGGGGTGGTAAATCACAGGAAGGTATATAAAGAAGGGAAACTAATGGTACATAAGGTTATTTAATAAGGTTTATTTATGCAGACCCATCTCAATGCCATCTCTGTCTCCAGTGATAAGGGCTGTGCTCTCCTTCCTGGGATGGGAGGAGGAAGCAGAAAACCATCAGGAAGAAAAATTTATGCTCTGTTCTTAGGCAGATCAGTGGAGTGCAGAGAGCCCCCCTTGTGTCTGCCATCTCTCCATAGCCTTCAGCTTAAAATAATCCTTATTCCCAAGCGGCGTATTAGGTGGGAGGTGTGGGGGGGCAATATTCTGATTCCCTTTAAAGGTAATTCAGAAATGTGACTTCTGATATCTGATTGAGCAGAGCAATGGTTTTAATGTGACATAAATTGATTAGAGTTGGAATTCACTTCATTATGAGCTAATGAATGGAGACATTCTTGTAGTTTTCTGGGAGAGTCAGTGCTGCAACAGAGAGGTTTGTCCGTAAAGGAACTGATGGATATTTGGTGTAGCTGTTCTAGAAACATAACCAGTGAATATCCACAAAATTTTCCGGAAAAATATTGATTGGCATTCAACAAATTCAACTCTCAATTAATCGGACAAGTGCAGATTTTGTTTGTTTTGTTTTGTTGACCATTATCCACTCATGAGAAGTCAATGATAAGAAAACTAGCTCCTGTTGGAAAGGATGTTTTGAAAGAGAAAAATTAACATAGATGAGTTTCCTTTGAGCACAATCATCTTTGCCTTGTATGAAAGGCTATGTAATGTGGTGGAAAATGCCCTCCACTAGGAATCAAAATTCTTATGGTTTCATGCTTCTGGACCTCATTATAATATGGCCTGTATAACCTCTGAGGCACTTTCTGTGCTCTTAAATGCCACAAACTTGATCTTGAGACATTGAGTTCTGGGAAGGTAAAATCATGGAAAGAGTACTGTACTGGAAGGCCAGAACATTGCTTTGAGCTGTTGTTTCCCCAGCCAGCTGCGTGACCTTGGAGAAGTCACTTCAGCTTCCTGTGCCTCACTTTTTTCCTCTGTACCATAGGGTGCTAGTGACCCAGGTCACATTCCTCTTCTCAGGTCTTTCAGTTCAACATGGTAAGCAATGGCTCCTGTTGTAGTTACTTGTTTTGGGGGGGGGGTTGTTTTTGTTTTAAGTTTATTTATTTTCAGAGAGAGAGAAGGGAGGGTTAGGGGCAGAGAGAGAGGCAGAGAAAGAATCCCAAGCAGGCTTTGTGCTGTCAACAGAGCCTGATGCAAGACTCAATTTCACATTGAGATCATGACCTGAGCTGAAATCAAGAGTTGAACACTTAACCAACTGAGCCATCCAGGTGCCCCATATTGTGGTTAGTTCTGTGCATTGACTTGGTGAGGCTATAGTGCCCAATGATTTAATCAAATGCAAATCCAGGTTTCATTGTGAAGATTATTTTGTGGATGTAGTTGACATCCACAGTCAGTTGACTTTAAGTAAAGGAGATTATGCTCAATAATGTGGGCGGGTCTTTTCCAATCCATTGGAAGTTAAGAACAAAACTGAGGTTTCTTGGAGAAGAAATGTTCTGCCTCAAGACTGCAGCTTTAATCCCTGCCTGAGTTTAGGTTTTTCCAGACTGTTCTGTGGATTTGGGACTTGCCAGCTCCCACAATCATCTGAGCCAATTTCTTAAAATAAATCTCTTAGCATACACACACACACACATACACACACACACATATATATGTACACGTTTATTTTATTGGTTCTTTTCTCTGAGGAACACTGATACAGCTCTCCAGGTGAGACGATCAATTTGTGGCCATCAAAGGAAGATGCACTGATATTTCTTCTACTTACTACGGTAAGAGTAGGGATAGAAACATAGAGCACACGTTACCTCAGTGGCTATATTCAGCCCACAAACATTTTTTCTCTGGCCCACATAGTTTATTTCTTTTGAATTAGTTGACAACATTTAAACATGAGATATCACTTAAAGTATGACTTTCTCTTTCTCTTAATTGGAGATCTAGCAACCTGAGGCCTGTATTCTTGCAAGAGAATAATCAGCTTGAACGAAGTCCTCAAACTGGGTCACCTCAAACTTGTCACCCTGGGGATACACAAAGGTTTTCCAAGGAGTATCAATTTTCAGACACTCAACTTCCATATGTTCCCATTTCTATAGCTGATCTGCTTGCAACCTGCTTGCCTCCTGAGCTGTCACATTTGTCCTTTCTCTCTCAGCTCCCCTTTCGGATCACCCTTCTCCCACCTCACAAAATGAGGTCAATATGGAAATAATGCTGCCCAGCTATAGCTTCCACACAGGACTTGCTTCCCATAGTGGGCTGAATGGTGACCCCTAAAAGATATGTCCATCTGGAACCTCAGAATGTTAACTTATATGGAATAAAAGCTTTTGTAGATGTAATTAAGGTAAAGATCTTGAGACAAAATCATCCTGGATTACAGTAGATTATAAATCCAATGGCAGATGTCTTTATAAGAAGCTGAAAAGTAGAAAACAGCCACAGGATGCCAAGGGGAAGGCCATGTGAAGACAGAGGCAGAGATAAGAGTGATGCTACAAGCCAAGGGGCACTAAGGAACACCAGGAGCCAGCAGAAGCTTCAAGACAGGAGGCATGGAACAAATTCTCCCCCAGAGCATCCAAAAGGAACCAGCCCTGCTGACATCTTAATTTTGGACTTCTGGCCTCCAGCACTGTGAGAGAATAAATTTGTTACTTCCAGCCACCACATTTGTGGTAATTGGTTATGGCAGACCTAGAAAACTAATATACTCCCCTCTGGGGGGAGCTCCTTCAAGGTTGGCCTCAGCTGCAGGGGGCCACCCTGACTGAAGTCACACCCTTTCCAGGACAGCCCCACATCTGACAATGAAGCATGTGGGGTACTTGTCACCAACACAAGTCTAATGGGCAGTGTTCACTTCAGCGCTGGCTGCTGGGAGTCTTCACCAATTTCCTCTCGTCCAGGCTTCCTTCCTCTTCCTTCTCTACACATGTGTTGATCCCTCATAAACATCCCGCTCCCCACATTCTGTCTCAGCATGTGACAGAGAACCCAACGTGTTATTGCAGAAGAAAATGCACACCTTTTACCATCTCAGGTCTTCCTACCATGAATTGCCTCCAGGTGTTAGGACTCTCTGGGTAACAATCGGACAGTTCGAAATATTGATGTTGATGTTGCTATAAAAGGTTCCTATCCCCATTTACTTATTTATATAAACCAGTTTTCTCAGCATTTGCATCCATAAACATCAAACTTAGAAAAAGGTTTGGTGCTAAGCCCCGTCTCATGCTAGCAGTAAGTAATATTCATCTGTGCATACGTGAGCTAATTGGAAAAAATAAAACCGATATATCTCATATAGGTATGATTTAAACAAAATTTTAATTTTATGTTTAATAATTATTCATTAAAAATTTACAAGTATATTTAGGTTATTTTAATCAATTTTTCCAGAAGAAAAATACTTCTGCACTTATGGCCTTATGGTCAAAGGATATTAAGTTCCAATTTGTATTTTTACTTATGTTGCAGAGAAGTAGGGAAGTGTGATGAATAAAACACTTTATGGTTGAGTGTGGTGAATAAAATGCATTACGGTTGAGTAAAATTTTGTGGGGGAGGAGTAATTAAAATACAAGTTCAAGGAAGAACACCTGGGGTGGCTCAGATGGTTGAGCACCAATTCTTGATTTTGGCTCAGGTAGTGATCCGAGTCGTGGGACTGAGCCCCAGGTCGGGCTCTGTGCTGAGTGAGCCTGGAGGCTGCTTAAGATTCTGTCTCTCCCTCTGCCCCTCTCCCCTGCTCACACACTCACTCTCTCTAAAATTAAAAAACAATTAAAAAAAATGTTTAAACACAAGTTCAAGGAGAAAAAAGAAGTAAAATTTCTGTTTGTCAAATAAGAACTTGTTTGTGTATTCTTTTTATGGTTGATAGTGGTTATCAAATTGCTGTGGGGTCTAAATTGTATTGGAACGATGTAATTTTTTTATTTTAAAATATTACCATTTATAGTACATCACTAATTACCTCCCACCCCACTCTTTTTAAAGTAGGCTCCACACCCAGTGTGGAGCCCAACACAGGGCTTGAACTCACAACCCCAATATTAAGACATGAGCCAAGATCAAGAGTCAGATGTTCAACCGACTGAGCCACCCAGGCACCCCATCCTTTTAATAACTACTAAGCCTACAATTACAAATTTTAGGTGTTTACTTAAAAATCTGATGAGGGTGGTACAGTTTTCCAAAAATCTGGGGGCAGGTTCATGACTACCACTGATTTGCGCTGCCTGCGGACACCTGCAGATATTTCAGTCTTTGACTCCTGCTTTGGCCAAACAGCAGAACAACTCTATGATAAAGCCTGTGTTAATCCTCAAGTGCGGTTTCTGAGAGGATTATCCTCCCCAGATCTCTGAGGAACTAACGGCATATCTGCCAGGGAGGAAGGGGCTGATATACAGAGGAGGGGTAGCTTTTTCTAATTCTCGCAAAGGCTCTCTTTAAAGGCCAGGGCCACAGAGGAGAATGCTCTGATGGGCAACAGGGACTGACTTACAAATTCCCCCAAAGAAACTTAAGAGGAACTGCTCCTTCCACAGCCTCCTCCCCATATCCCTCCCCCTGAGCTCTCTTTCTTTCCCTTCTCTACATAGATTCCACTCCAGGTGGAGGGGAATGAGACAACTAAGGAAAATGTGTTCACTTTGCACCAAAATAATAACTAACTACAACT